TTACTTGCATGCCATCTCGTAATGAAGTTACTCAGATGACTGTCACAGGAGAATGGTCGACCCCAAAGATTCACGAGGTATACTGACATGTTGCTTGTTTTATTGTTATAAGGTTTGTAAAGTAGTTTTATTTTTTGCTTCTGGTCTCAGTTTCTGAAAAACAGTGCAAAATCAACATATACAGTAACCAAATTTGCTTCGAGACTCAATGATGAAATATGCGTTAATGCACGTGTTTTCGTGACCTCGTAAATCATGTCACAATTGAGATTACTTCCGAAGAACTAATATTATCTTTTATGCAGGCAATGCAGATATGCCTCGATGCTTGTACGAAACTGGGGATGATCATGAGATCATGCCTAAAAGAAGCTGTTTCTGCTCCAGAAGATTAGAAATTTGTGTTTCTTAGTGGATTTTTTTCACTTTATTAATCCCAAGAATGTTTGGTTAGGCTTAAAATATTAAAATTTGCTTATTTATTACTTTTACTTAAAAGAGGGTATACTCGGTTTGAAAGTAGTTATTCCTTTTGCTCGTGCATGAAATTACTCACAATTAGCCAAATAATTGGTAACAAGACTCCAAAATATTTGTTCATTCTTTACATAATAGACGGTCCAAACCATGTGAAATGCCTCGAGAAAGTCTACTTAGGCATTACTCCACTATTGTATTTTTTGACATCCAATGATAGACCAGATTTGTTGACTGTGTTTGGAATATAAAACAGGATCAGTTGAAGAAATAATTGCATGTGAGAGAGCTCAAGGCTTCAAATTTAAAGAGTTTTTTTACTTTTATTTATTTTTATTTGTATTTTTTAGTTTTATAAATATTCTTTTATCAATATACGTTTTTAAATAAAATAGTCTTACGAGCAAAATTTACGAGTTCAAATCTAAAAATTGTACATGTGTCAGGGTGTTTAATTAGAACATAAATTCGTCTATAAATAATATTATAGCTTTAAATTAATAAATTGTCGTTTCTGTATCAATTCAAGTGCCAACTAGAATGATCAACACGAGGCTATTGGCTACACATGTTCAATAAAAGTTGTAGAGTTTAATTATTTTCATTGTGCAGAACTAGTAAATTTTGGTTTCGTTTTAATTTGTCTTATAAATAGGGAGTTGTCAATAAAATTTTGTATCATCATCAGCAATGGAGAGAGATATTAGATAAGAAAGGGAATATGATTTTTTCTTGTAAATTTTTTTCTGCATGGTAAATTACTGTAGTGACGAAAGAAGATGAAATGTAACATCAAAGCGAACATCTATAAATCTTGCGTATCTTTATTTCTTTCTGCAAATTGATTGCTCTCGATGAAATAAAATTGGAGTTTCTAATTGCCAACATTTTTATCATATTCAATAGTGGTATATATCGCTCATTTTATTTTGAAGACTTCTATTTGTAGGTCGTATGTGACATGTGAGACGAGCTCGTGCTGCTGGCCCTCTCTCCTTGCTCGAAATTAGGCGAAAAGATTGGCAAAGTTTTCTAGTTTCTCTTACGTGGCGACCATGCAATCCATGGCATTTTCAAGTCAAATTCTGATTGCCTGTCAAAAGTCCGCCGCTCGGATCGGGTTTGATGCTAAGTGGGTTTGGCCGTTTGGGTGATAAAGTATTTGTACATATTTGAAATAATAAAAAATAGGTTGACTTTTTTAAGAATGGTTAAGCGGTTTCACCATTAAAGAAAAAAAGAATGAATAAAATTCTGAATTCTAGAGCTGCACAAAAAAATCGCGAAATCGCAAATCGAATCAAAATTGTTGAGTTGAAACCGTTGGTTCGAGTCCACGTGGACCCGTGATTTCTTTTTCCTCAAACCGAACCAAAATGGTTTGGTTTAGGTTTTGATTTTCAAAAACCAAAATCAAACCGAACTGTTTTTAAATTTTTTAATTAAAAAATTAATTTTATTAATTTAGAAATTTTAATTTTCATTTAAAAAAATACCAATTTAACAATACAAAATACAACTAGCCTATTGAAATAATCATAGAAAATAAATTTGGTTCATCATTATTAACATATAATTTAATAGGTTAACAATACATGTCCTCACCTGATATTTAAACTAAATTAAAATTATTCTAAAATCATATGAAATGAAAAAAAATATATATATATATTTTCAACAATTCAAATCATAATTTAACATAACTATATCAGTAAATCAAGTCCAAAGTTTCAGGAATCATAACATAAGCTCTAATTTCTCCAACACTTGACGCTTGTCTACCACCGCTAATCGAATCGCCGGTCGCCTTTACCTGTTAGTCTATTAATATCTACCTGAATCGCCTTTTTCTCTCTTCTCTTTCGATAAATCTTAAATTTTTATTCTGGCTATTTTCCATTGTTCTTTCTTTTATTTGTTTTTTTGAACTTATAATACATTTGTGAGTTGTGGTTTAGATAAAAAAATGATTGTTTGTGTGTCTAGATAATTAATGAACTTGTTTTATATTTGAAAAGAACGAATGACAAAGCGTATTGATTGTGTGAAAAATGTTAAAGTTTCCTAACTAGTACTACTCCTTTTACTTTACATCTCACTAGCAAAACGAAAATGAGTTTTAACTAAACTATAATAATAGAATGTAACTCTACATTTATCAATCGCTAAATAACAATATGAATGTCAAACAAGAAAAGGTAAATAAAACTGAAAAAAGATGTATTTGTTCTATTGACATCTTTTAGCAACCAATTTTGAAAATAATTTATTCATGTGTTCCATGGTACATATGAATGTAATTTAATATTTAACATTATTAGTTCTCGTTTACACTTATATTTAACTATGTTCAATAAATTATTATAATGTCGAAAGGTAAATAGCGAATTAAAACCAAACCAAACCGCAAATTATGGTTTGGTTTAATTTGATTTGAAAATTAAAATGGTTTGGTTTGGTTTGAAAAAATTTCAAATCGCTAAAAATGATTTGAGTTGAAAATATAGCCTAAATCGCCTAAATCGAACCGCGTTCACCCCTACTGAATTCTATTTATTGAATTAGGCTTAGTAAATGTTTCATTATCCTTAGTCGTGGTAGTGGATCGAGCTCGTGAAATCATGAATCGAGCCAAGTCGAGTCCATGAGCTCAAATTTTATTTTATTTTTTTTAACTTTTTACGAGACAACAAGGCGAGCTCGTGGGTCATGCCACGAGCTATTCGTAGCTCGACGAGCCGAGCAAGCGAACTCTTTGCTGGGGTCAGGCTCGGGATCGTCCCGAAAAGAACTCGAGTCGTCCATAGACCCAGCTTTGACGAGCTGACGAACTATTCTACCCTATTGTCATCCTTAATTATCCTTAATCATATTTAGGGTGTGTTTGAGTCTATTTTCTTTTGAAAATTAGTATTTTTTTTTGAAGGAAACTGACTCAAACGGGACCTAAGACTTTAAGAGTATTTTGGGGTCGTGGGTAAGGGTGAGGGTTATGGGAATCAGCTTTACCAAATTTAGTGAAGAAATTTGCAGACATGTCATGTATTTAGGTTTAACCAAATGTAGGCCCTATTTTTTGAAAAAGTGTAATAATGATTTTTTTTTTTTTTGGAGAATGTATGATTAAAAAATATATATATAGATTTCCACATAAAATTATTTTATGAAAAAAAATTTGATTGCAAATAAATTAAAAAAAAAAAAAAACAATGAAACTCAAACATAGGTTTAATGTTACCTTACATGTGATTCATTCCCTATATATATATATATGAAGAAGCAACAAAAAAATCGTGAAACTGCAAATTAAACTAAAATCGTTGATTTGAAACATTTAGTTCGAGTCCACATGGACCCGTAGTTTTTATTCTCACAAGTCGAACCAAACTGTTTCAAAACGATTTGGTTTATGTTTCGATTTTCAAAAATAGCACAAAATCATTTTTAAATTTTTTAATTAAAACATTAATTTTATTAATTTATAAATTTTATAGTTTTCACTTTTTGGAAAGAAAATCTCAATTTAGCAATACAAATTAGAACCAGCCAATTGAAATAATCATAAAAAGTAAATTATGTTCATCATTATTAACTCATGATTTAACAAGTTCACAACATATATCCTCACCGAATTCTAAACTAAACTAAAATTATTCTATATATATATATATACGATCCAAATCATATTTCAACAAAATTACGGTACCAAATCAAGTTCGAAGTTTCAAAAATTCTAACTTAAACTCTCATTTCCCAAACATTTGACGCACTGCTGAACGAATCATCAATCGTCTTCTGCTTGTTAGTCTGCTAATTTTTACCCGAATCACCTCTTTCTCTCTTTTCTCTCGATAAGTCTCAGATTTTCATTCAAACCATTTTTCTATTGTTTTTCTTTCATTTATTATTTGAACTTATTATATACTTGTAAATTATGATTTGAATAGAAAAATGACTATTTGTGCGCCTAGATGATTATTGAACTTGTTTGTGGTTTGTAAAGAACGAATGACGGAACGCATTGATTGTGTGAAAATGATAAAGTTCCATAACTAGCTGGTATTACTACCTTCAGGGGCGGACGCAGAAATTTTTAGTTAGGGGACACAATCAAACTATGTACAAATCGAATACTTTGTTCTTGATTTTTGAATGATTTATCCTCGACCCGATAAAATGCAGATTTACATTTAAAAAAAATTCTTCATTAATATTTTGCTCATCATTTTCATCCATTTGATTTCGAAGTCATTTTATTAATATTTTGCTCATCACAAGAAAATGCATATTTATATTTACAAAATTTATAGTGTATTTAAAATAAACAATAAATTCAAGGGATTGAAAGGAAAAACATATAACCAATATTCAATCAAATAAATACAATTCATTAAATATAAGTTAAATTGAATATAATCAGTTCAAACACATTCTATGTACATAAATAAGATAGGAGAAAATGCAAATTTAGGTTCTAATTAATTGAAAATTTGGCCCTTGTTTGAGCCCTATTTTGGGGTAAAAATGAATTTATGAATAGTGAGTTGATGGGAAATGTGTGGTTAAAAAATAGGGAAAAATTTTGAATTTACATGTAATATTATTTTATTAAAGAATGTGTGGTTGAAATAAAGTCAAAAGACTATTCAAGAATGTATTTTTTTGAAAAGAAATGGACTCAAACAAGGGCCTGATTAGAAAGTGAAAATTTGTAGTAAATGTGATAATTTGTAGAAAAATTATAGACAAATTTTTGAAAAATTAGAAGGGTTAAAGTTTTTATAAAAGGTGTAAGATAAAGTAAAAGAAAAGAGGAAAAAACTAAAAATTATTATGTGTGTATATATATAGATTTTGTCCTTATTTGGTAGAGGTTAAAATCAAACGTTTAGCATATATTGATAAAAATTAAGGATTCCAAGAAATATATTATTAAAATTAATTGTGTAACTTTGATTTAGATTAAAATTTAGATTTCAATTGATACAAAACAGGACTTAAAAAAAATAATAAAATCAAAAGATGGGGGGTCACGTGACCCTCACCCCCCGGGATCCGCCCATGACTATCTTCTTCTTTCAAAAAGTAGTTAGAAATAAAATTCGTTAATTCTCAATAAGCCTAAACTTTATCAATCTTTATACATCTAAATTTATCTTGTTTAATTCTTATTTAACATCTCACTAATAAGACGAAAAGAGTTTTAACCAAACTATAATATCAGAACACAACCC